CGAAGGGAAGTGGTGACGAAGGGAAGTGGTGACGAAGGGAAGTGGTGAAGAAGGGCAAGTGGTGACGAAGGGAAGTGGTGAAGAAGGGAAGTGATGATGAAGGGAAGTGGTGAAGAAGGGAAGTGGTGACGAAGGGAAGCGGTGAAGAAGGGAAGTGATGATGAAGGGGAGTGGTGACGAAGGGAAGTGGTGAGGAAGGGAAGTGGTGACGAAGGGAAGTGGAGAGGAAGGGAAGTGATGATGAAGGGGAGTGGCGAGGAAGGGAACTGGCAACCATGAAGGGGAGTGGTGCATGATGTTGCAAGGGCTCTGTTGTGGGGAGGAAGCCGGAGCACCAAACCTTGTATTTTTCCGTGTAAAGTGGCTGCAGCCGACGATGAAAGGTACCTCGTCTGTGCGACGGGTGCGGCTGCGGTCGTTTTGTGCGCGAATTGTTCCTCCTATGTGTTTTGCAACGAGTCGTTGTGTCTGTGTGCGTAGTTCTATGCGGTTCTTGAATCTCTGGTTGCAAATTGCATTGGAATGGCTGCATGAATGTTGCATGGGCTATGTTTTGGGGAGGAAGCCGGAGCACGAAACCTTGTGTTTTTCCGTGTAAAGTGGCTACAGCCGGCGATGAAAGGTACCTCGTCTGTGCGACGGGTGCGGCTGCGGTCGTTTTGTGCGCGAATTGTTCCTCCTATGTGTTTTGCAACGGGTCGTTGTGTCTGTGTGCGTAGTTCTATGCGGTTCTTGAATCTCTGGTGGCAAATTGCATTGGAATGGCTGCATGAATGTTGCATGGGCTATGTTTTGGGGAGGAAGCCGGAGCACGAAACCTTGTGTTTTTCCGTGTAAAGTGGCTGCAGCCGGCGATGAAAGGTACCTCGTTTGTGCGACGGGTGCGGCTGCGGTCGTTTTGTGCGCGAATTGTTCCTCCTATGTGTTTTGCAACGAGTGGTTGTGTCTGTGTGCGTAGTTCTATGCGGTTCTTGAATCTCTGGTTGCAAATTGCATTGGAATGGCTGCATGAATGTTGCATGGGCTATGTTTTGGGGAGGAAGCCGGAGCACGAAACCTTGTGTTTTTCCGTGTAAAGTGGCTGCAGCCGGCGATGAAAGGTACCTCGTCTGTGCGACGGGTGCGGCTGCGGTCGTTTTGTGCGCGAATTGTTCCTCCTATGTGTTTTGCAACGAGTCGTTGTGTCTGTGTGCGTAGTTCTATGCGGTTCTTGAATCTCTGGTTGCAAATTGCATTGGAATGGCTGCATGAATGTTGCATGGGCTATGTTTTGGGGAGGAAGCCGGAGCACGAAACCTTGTGTTTTTCCGTGTAAAGTGGCTGCAGCCGGCGATGAAAGGTACCTCGTTTGTGCGACGGGTGCGGCTGCGGTCGTTTTGTGCGCGAATTGTTCCTCCTATGTGTTTTGCAACGAGTGGTTGTGTCTGTGTGCGTAGTTCTATGCGGTTCTTGAATCTCTGGTTGCAAATTGCATTGGAATGGCTGCATGAATGTTGCATGGGCTATGTTTTGGGGAGGAAGCCGGAGCACGAAACCTTGCGTTTTTCCGTGTAAAGTGGCTGCAGCCGGCGATGCAAGGTACCTCGTCTGTGCGACGGGTGCGGCTGCGGTCGTTTTGTGCGCGAATTGTTCCTCCTATGTGTTTTGCAACGAGTCGTTGTGTCTGTGTGCGTAGTTCTATGCGGTTCTTGAATCTTTGGTTGCAAATTGCATTGGAATGGCTGCATGAATGTTGCATGGGCTATGTTTTGGGGAGGAAGCCGGAGCACGAAACCTTGTGTTTTTCCGTGTAAAGTGGCTGCAGCCGGCGATGAAAGGTACCTCGTTTGTGCGACGGGTGCGGCTGCGGTCGTTTTGTGCGCGAATTGTTCCTCCTATGTGTTTTGCAACGAGTGGTTGTGTCTGTGTGCGTAGTTCTATGCGGTTCTTGAATCTCTGGTTGCAGATTGCATTGGAATGGCTGCTTCATTGTCGTCATTTGATGTTGCCACGTGCGCAGATAGGTGCGGGTTTGCCACGGGATGTTGCGAAACGCATTGTAATGGCTGCATGAATGTTGCATGGGCTCTGTTTTGGGGAGGAAGCCGGAGCACCAAACCTTGTGTTTTTCCGTGTAAAGTGGCTGCAGCCGACGATGAAAGGTACCTCGTCTGTGCGATGGGTGCGGCTGCGGTCGTTTTGTGCGCGAATTGTTCCTCCTATGTGTTTTGCAACGAGTCGTTGTGTCTGTGTGCGTAGTTCTATGCGGTTCTTGAACCTCTGGTTGCAAATTGCATTGGAATGGCTGCTTCATTGTCGTCATTTGATGTTGCCACGTGCGTAGATAGGTGCGGGTTTGCCACGGGATGCTGCGAAACGCATTGTAATGGCTGCATGAATGTTGCATGGGCTATGTTTTGGGGAGGAAGCCGGAGCACGAAACCTTATGTTTTTCCGTGTAAAGTGGCTGCAGGCGACGATGAAAGGTACCTCGTGTGTGCGACGGGTGCGGCTGCGGTCGTTTTGTGCGCGAATTGTTCCTCCTATGTGTTTTGCAACGAGTGGTTGTGTCTGTGTGCGTAGTTCCATGCGGTTCTTCAATCTCTGGTTGCAGATTGCATTGGAATGGCTGCTTCATTGTCGTCATTTGATGTTGCCACGTCCGTAGATAGGTGCAGGTTTGCTACGGGATGCTGCGAAACGCATTGTAGTGGCTGCGTCAAGGTTGCTTGGTGCAGCGGCTGCATGCGTAATACTATTGTCTTTTGCAGCTGAAGATCGTAAATCGTATTGGAATGGCTGCATCAAGGCTGCGAAAGTGAATTGTCAGCAGATTTTCTCAATTTTGGCGCTAATAATTTTCCTTTTAAAATTCCTTTTAAAAAGTGCTTCAAAATCGTCTTTTTGTCGCTTTGGCGTCGAGATCCGGTTTTGGAGCTGCAATTTCCGACGCCATTGCACGTAGTTCTATTGTGTTTTGCAACTCAGTCTCTGCAGATCGCATTGTAGTGGCTGCGTCAAGGTTGCTTGGTGCAGCGGCTGCATGCGTAATATTATTGTCTTTTGCAGCTGAAGATCGTAAATCGTATTGGAATGGCTGCATCAAGGCTGCGAAAGTGATTTGTCAGCAGATTTTCTCAATTTTGGCGTTAATAATTTTCCTTTTAAAATTCCTTTTAAAAAGTGCTTCAAAATCTTTGTTCGTGAGATTTGTCCTAAAGTTCGTGGGATTCTTCCTTTTTTTCCTATGCTATGATTGAAACATCATGCCTGCGATCAAAAATTGTCAAAAAATTCAGTAGCCTTGAAACAGATTTCGCACCCAACAGAAAGTGAAGGAACAGGAAAGAAATTTCTTTCTCCTTAAATGGAGAAGACTATGCGTTGCATTTTGTCAAACACGCGCAAGGACTCCAGGGCACACTGCAAGCAATCAAACAACTCACGGTTTTTCAGCAGCTGTGCCAAGAAAGCGCGCAAACCGGGAATCCAACAAATTAGAAAACCTCGCTAGTGGGAAACAGGAGGTGATCCATGGGAACATCAGTGGACCCACCATAATGATTAATATTGAAAACGCCCACACATGGCTAGCCACTGTGGGAAGATGAAACATGACTCAGAGGTGGCTAGCCCCTCTGATAATATATATTAACAAAATTTAACAAACATTCACACGACATGGGCTAACCATTTTGGGAAGACAAAATAATATGACTCGGAGGTGGCTAGCCCCTCTGATAATATTTTCAAGATACACCCACTCGTGGCTAGCCATTGTGGGAAACATATAAGGTGGTCCATGCTTGGCAATGAGTTGGTTGTAAATAGACTGCAGGTGGCTAGCCCCTGCACTTTAGAACGTGAACCAAATACAGGCTAGCCGGTTGATTGTTGGAATTTTGTCCCCTGAGTTGAACCCTGATGTGGGCTGAGTCTTACATGGCTATTGGTGTCCCATTGCTTCCTTGTTCAGCCACAAGGTTAATCGGAACCCGTGAGGTGCTTCTTGGTGTGACATTTTCGACACATGTGCAGGTGGCTAGCCCCTGCATTGTTGCACGGTCCTTGGTTAAGATGTTAAATAGAAGAAGCCGGCTAGCCGGCTTGCAACTTTATTTGCAGAACATTGTTGCTTTGTATTCACACACATGGCTGGCCAGTGTGGGGCCCTTTGCATTCTAGCATGTGGCTAGCCCTTGAATCCCCCATCATCGGGTTCATGGTTGCCACCAGCTGCTCATATCTCTTGGTCACCATCATTGTGATCACCTTCCTCATGCACCTCCCCCTTTTCCTCTTCATCAGCATTTCATCATCATCATCGCCATCACCATCACCATCACCATCATCATCACCATCACCATCACCATCATCATCATCATCATCAGAATCATCCACCACCCCCACCACCACCACCACCATCATCATCCATCCATATACATCTGCGCATTCTTGGATGGCGAGTCGCCACTGCAGGAGCAAAACAGGCGGACCGACCCCGGCTCCAGTTGGTGACAGCAATCCTCAACGGTATTTCAACGTTTGACCATGTTTATGTCCATATTCGACACATAATTTAAAGACTTTAATCATGCCTATCCATCCAAAACGAACAACCAGTAGATGCCTCGAGCATGATCAAGCAACCGTGTGACATTGGAATCTATCTCATGCTGTGGAGGCTCTCTGGGCCATCCATCGTATTGCGGCTCTTTGGGCCGTGTTGGTGGTTTCTTTGCGGGCTCTGGGCTTTGTTTTGCAGCGGCTCCATGGGCCGTGTTGTTAGTTGTTTGTGGTGTGGGGGCTCCTTGGGCCATCCATTGTAGCGCGGCTCTTGGGGCCGTCTTTGCGGTTGCCTTTCAAGCTCTGGGCCACTGCTCTGTTCAACACTGTGAAGGCTCCATGACAAACTGTCGACTTTGCTCGAGCTACCTAGAGGCCACCGCCTTTTTCTGACACACTCGCTGTCTTCTTGTTTTTCAGTTCTCACACTGATGCCTTGTAGACGCTCTGATGTCATGAAGTTCAAGGTGGAAATTGCGCGGGCCACTTGGCGTGAACAAGACTACTGGTCCCATGGCTTGGAAGTAGTGCGCAACGCTGTGCTTTTCCTCTTGCACGTGTGCGACCGCAGATTCTACGACCTTGCTGTGCACATGCATTTCGTGCTCACCTATATGCGCTACCATGATACAGACTCAGATTTGGGTGCGGAAAAGGCGGATGAAGAAATGGAAGTGCCTGCCCTGAAAATGGCTCATCGCACTGCCTACTTTGAGGCCCAGCCGTTGAGTCGACGTTTTGCTTTGCTTGATCTTACAAGCCAACAGCTTCGCTGCCATCTGCAGGATGTCTTTGGCGCCATTGCTGAAGTGCACCATGTCTTCCTTCCTGCCGCCAGAGCTCTTCAATCCATGGAGTTTGAAAGGCAATTCAAAGAGTTGGCCGTTTGTTTGGGAGATGTGCTGGCTGCTTGGCATGTAGCAAAAACTGACCAGAGGCTGAGACAGCAATGCTCAAAGACTTTTTGGAAAAAATGTGGGCGAGTCTACTGCGTTGCTAGTGTGTGACGTGTATGAAACCTGACTGAACAGTTTTTGCATGCATGGCATGTATTCCTGCATGCCCACACATTCTGTATGGAAGATTCGTTTTCTGGCTCTGGAAATTTTCACCAGGATGTAATTTTTCAAAGCATTCATGTTGATCATTTGGATCGCAGGGCAGAAAACCCAAAACAAACATGCCATTTCCTATCCATGGTATGGGCCACTCTGTATAATGACAGGAGTCTAGTCATGCTGTTTTCTTGTCATACAGCTCTTCGGCCGCCTTCGGCGGAATCTCAATGAATGCTGGGAGCTCGTCTGACTGTGTGCTGGAATTACCTCCCGATGTTGTGTCCAGTGATGCTTCCGAGTCCAGGGAGGCCAGTGTGGAGCTGCCAGACCCAATAGGTGCGCAGTTTGCGTGCTGCAAAAACAAGTGTGTAGACCGGTTCAATGCCGCACAAACAGCTGCAGAGCAAAGACTCAAGAAAGATCTTGAGCCGTTGAACATGGAAGGAAAGAATGCAATCTGGTTTCACCAGCTGCTCAATATGAACAAGGCACAGCCAGAGGGTCAGCGCAGAAAACTCTTTTGGTGGCAAGGGAAAGCAATTTGTCAACAAGCGTTCAGTCGGGTCACGCAATGCTCAGAAAAGAAAATCCGCTACTACCTGAAATGTATCGCTGAAGGAGAGGTATTGCCTCCAAAGGATGGCAGAAAAGTTCCATGCAAGCGATCAGAGCCCAAACGGGAAGATGTGGAAAGTTTCTTTTGTTTTTTGTACGAGCACCTGGCTGAGCCGCTAGCCATTAGTCGCCAGGACCTTGATGAGGATCCGGCTGAAGCAAATGCTTGTGGTGACATTGGCGACTCGATTGTGGACTTGCCTGACTGGCTTTCGAATGATGATGACATGCTCAATAGATTGCCATACATGTTCTCCGGGGACGGGAGCAAGCCACAAATTCAGAAGCGATGGCTTCCCACCATGACATCTGCTCAGCTCCACGACTTGTACAAGGACATCCATGCCGACCATGAAACTTTAGCTTCTTGGACAACTTTCCAACGTGTTTGGGTTCGTTTTCAAAGTGTGATGGGGGTGAGGCCTGTGACCCTTCATAGTCGGTGCGATGACTGTGCCAGATACAGTGCCTCGTTTGACTTTTCAGCATGTTGTCCTGCTGTCACTTTTTCACACGGCCCCTTTTTTTTACAGTGTCACATTTTCATGAAGAATGATTGAGGTTTGGAAGCAGGAACTAAAAAAACTTGTGTTCATTGAGGTTCACAGCCATCCATTAACCCTATTATACTTTTGACTAGACTCCACGTGTGAAGATGCAAAACTGCCAGGTCGTTATCGAAAACTTCAAAGCAATCCATCAGATCTGGCTGCCGTCAATCATGCCTACAACAACCATATCCGGGCTGTCTTCCGCGACAGAAGCATCATACAAGGGATGGAGACCATGGCTGAAAACACGAATCGTTTGGAAGATGTGGAGCTGCCACACCTGATGGTCACTATAGATGCTATGGACAAGAGCAAGTGGCTTGTACCGCGAAGTCTGGACTCATCAAAACGCTTGGCAGCTTTGTGGCGACCAGCCTTGCATGTTGTTGGCGTTCTCATAGCTGGAGTACTTGAATATTTTGCCATTGTAGAGCCTGATGTCAAGGCAGACTCCGATTTGCAGCAAACTCTCCTTGCCCGTGCCTTAGACTTGGCAGAGGATGAACTCCGGAAACGAGGCAAAGGCATGCCATGGAAAGTCATTTTCCACAGTGACAATACAAGCAAAGAGGGGCGCAATTCTCAGCTTCTTCTTTTTGCCACTGCGCTGGTGTCCTCACAGCGCTTTGCAGAAGTGTCTTTGGCCATGTTCCGTGTCGGACACACACACACAACAGGCTGGATCAGAGATTCAGTGTGATTGGGTCTTTGCTTGCGCGGGTGCAATGCTTGCAAACACCCGAAGAGTATGTCAGCCATTTGCAAGAGCACTATCGCTCAGCTCGTGGTGTCCCAGTGCTGATCGAGCAAGTTGGCGACAGCTACCTCTGGCGCAATTTTTTTGCACCTTTGGATCGACACTTTGCAGGCGTGACAGGTACTCGGAGCACAGCTGATGCTGCGCATGTGTTCCGAGTTGTCAGGCGTGACATGGTCAGATTGTGTGCTCCCGAAGCCACCTTTCTTGAAGATGATGGTCTTGAGAGTGACCCAGTTCTTTTGGCAAAGCGCTGGATTTGTTCCAAGGGCTTGAGTCAGCCTCCAACTGTCTTATTACAAGGTGCATTTCCATTGGATTTTCGCAATCTTCTGCCTTTGCGGGCACCTCGCACAGCTTTGACCCAAGAATCGCTGAAACAATTTAGGAAAACTGCTCATGAGCTTCTGGCATCTCCATGGCTCCTCGAGTCTGCAGCTGCTTACATCTTAGCTTGGCTGCAGCGGAACGAAAATGCAGAGCCCAGTGGACAATTGCCTGATATCTCTTTCCTTGTGCAAGGCCGTGATTTTCTGCCAGCAGCGGTCTGTGCTGGAGCTACATGGAAAGACTTTGCTCCTGAAGGAGCGATTCCAGTGCAGCCCATGCCAAAGCAGAAAAAGAACACCAAAAACCAGGCACGAGCTAAAGAGCAGATTCCGCAGTGCAGCCATGTGTCTCGAAGAGCTCAGGCTGTGAAGAACCTCCAAGCAGTACCACAAGAGGACGCTGATGATCCTGGTCAGGTTGAGATGCCAGAAGCACGTATGAAGCGGCCTGCCGCTGCTTCGAAAGGCCGGCCCATGAAGCGTCCGGCAGCGAAACATGAGACCAGGTGATGTTTTGAATGAACTGCTGCGAGAAAACAATTCCTCCTTGCTGTCTGCTGCTGGCGTTTTTTGTTTTGCACACTTCTTTTCATAGCTGGTTGTTATTCAAGTTCAGTTTTTGTTGAGGGTTTTGGCTCTGTTACACAATAGTCACGAAGACCTTTGTATCCAAACACTCTGTTTGTCGCACCGTGTCGCTTGGTATGGAAAAAAAGAGGCTTCTCGACCAGGTGCTTGAGGTTCCCGAACAGGGTAGCCCCAAGCCGGAGTTGACTGTCGGCGCTGCCCTAGAACAAGAGCAAGCAGAAATGGAAGCCGAGTCCCTGCTAGGAGCTGAGGACCCTCATCCCAAGGCACTGGACCTGCTTGGTAGAATCCCTGGAGACACAGATGTGCCAAAGGCAAAGGAACCCGTGCCCTTGGAAAAACCTTCAGTGCCAGCTTTGACCCACATGACAGATGGGGCACTGCACAGTGTTGATGAAGCAAGAGTTTCTGAACAAACTGCTCCTCAAACCGCCTCTGCGGCACAGCAAGGTGGTGATGAAGGCGTCGTTCTGACTGACATTACTGAGATACAAGCCGCACCTGGAGCACAGCCTGATGGAGATGAGGCCACCTTTCGTGAACCACATGATCTGCTAGCTACACCTGCGGCAGGGCAAAGTCATTATGAAGCCTCGGTGCCTGGGCAAACCGCTCTTCATAGCACACCTGGCGCGCAGCAAACTTCTCATGTTTTGTTTTTGGGCCAAGTCAATGAAAATATCCTTCAGAATGTGCCTGACACACTGCAGCAAGATGTGCTTGGACAAGGAGTAGCCCATCCTACTGGCACCAGTGGCTCTGATTCTGGAAGGAGTGGATCCTTGGAACGACACGATTTGCCTGTCAGCAGCCTTGGTCCTGTTGCCGAGCCCAATGTTGAGCACGTGGCAAATACTCCTGTCACACAGCAGCAGCAACTGGAAAGGAGCAGAAGCCCAACAGCAGTCCGTCGCCGTCCGGCTGCCGCTCCGCATGTTCGTCGTCGTCCTGCTGCTGCAGTTGCGCCTGGTGCTGCCTTGGGCTGTTCCAAGTGCAGATTCAGTCGGGGAGGCTGTGCTCGTTGCCGTGGCCGATTGCAGGCCTGTTTGCAGATTTCGTGACGAGTTCAACCAACAGAGACCAAAAAACAGTTGGCATCTCCTCCGCGTGGTTCGGGGGCTCTAGGGGCAAATGTAGCAAAGCTAAACAGAATATCTTCAACTCGCATTGGCAACATGCTGGTGTTGAAACCACCCGTATACATTTTGCTGATTCCGTCCTTTTTTGAGGTATCTTTTGAAAGGATCATGAACACATTGGCTTGCTGCGGCTCATTGGGCCGTGGAATGCATGTCTGAAAGGCGGCTCTTTGGGCCGTGTCGTTTCTGGCGGCTCTGAGGGCCGTCACGTGTCCATGGCTGGTGACTTCAAGGACAAGAAAATTCAACTTTGGCTTTTCAGAGCGTGTTTTTCGAGTTGGTTAGACCTCACCTTAACGTCCGCCTTGTGTCTCTCTCCATGGCTGGCGTGGAATTGCCTCCTGCGGTCAATGATGCAGATGTGTCTGAAAGTGAGGAGGAAAAACCCTTGAACGTTGAAGACCCTGGCAGGGATGCTCACCTCCGCCCCACTGAGCCGGTGCAGTTCATGGAAATCTTTAGCAATCCCAGAATTGCTCCTGAGGTGCGCCGCTTGGGCCAGACTTGTGGCCCCAGCATTGACTTGGGCACCGGCTGGGACCTTACCAAGAAGGCAGTGCAGCAACGGTTGCTCCAGCTCTTGTATGTGCTGCAGCCCTTGGTGCTTATGCTTTGTCCACCATGCACGGTCTTTTCGTGTGTTCAGAACACCATGCGAGACCGCAGGGCTGATTACAAGAAGTGGGAGAAACAGTATGCGGAAGGCTTGTGTTTGTTCAAATTTGCTTTGCTGATCTTTCGTCTTCAAGTTCAAGCAGGACGCAAAGTGGTGCTCGAACACCCCTGGCGGGCAAGTTCTTGGACGCTGGCTTGCACCCAAAACATCCTTGCTTTGCACGATGTGTTCCAAACCGTATTTGATCAATGCTTGCTCGGCCTGCGCACCTTGCAAACTGATCAAGCAGTGAGAAAACGTACAGTTTTCATGACCAATTGGACAGGCCTTTGCTCTTCTTTTTCGACACGCTGCACTCCCGCAACCTGCAATCACTTTCCCTCATTCCATGCCCAGTTGCAAGGAGCAGAGGGCGGTATGTCAAGAACCCGTGCCGCGCAGACATATCCTTTGAGGTTTTGCCAAAACTTCGCGCAAAGTGTTTTCCAAGAACACCTGCGCCAGCAAGTGCAGGCGCCAGCTTTGCCACAAGATGTGGAGGAGGTCTCTGAGGATGAAGAGAGCATTTGATCTTTTCACAGTAGAGTTACAAATATCCAGGACTCTGCACAGCCTTGAGTATCTGGATGGTGTTGAGTTTCGCAGCAGGGAGCTGCGAGTCTGAGGGGAAAAATCGTCGGATCTCGCAGCACACATTTCCACGAGAGAGATCGGACCATTTTTTTTTTCGTCGGATCTTGTTGGACAGACGCATGTTTCGTCGGATCGGGTCATTCAAAATCAAGAACATGAGATCGGACCATCCTACCGTCACACACAAGAGATCGGACCGAAATATTTTTTCGTCGGATCTCTCCATTGAGAATAAAAAGGCTATGATCGGATGAAATTTGCATGGAATATTGATTTATATATCCATATTAACTATTTCTTTTGGCTTTTCCTTGCAGCACCTTTTTGTTCCCCAGCGGAGGCACCAGAAAGTAGCCTTTGGTAGCATGGCATCTTCAGAGGTCAGTTCTGCCGGAACACCTGTGCCTTGGGAGGTGGCTTTGGCTGATCCAAGTGATGCCAAATTCAAAGATCAGGTCGAACTTGCTGTTCAAGCCTACCAGGAACACGTCTTGGAGAAACATGGTGGCCCCATGCAGTATCTCATTGCTCATCTGCAGAGTTCTGATGCTCAGCCGCGTGAGTCTTTCCTGGCTTGGTTGTGGGCAACCTTTCCTTTGGAAGGGGACAAGCACTACCAGCTGGAGCATCCTTTCCCGGCAGTGACCATGGAGAAGCGGGGAGAAACATTGCCGTGCAAGGCTCACATTGCTATGTTGGGCTTCAATGAGGAGTGCAGTTAAAAACCGCCTCCTTCTGCGCACGCATCTTTGCAACTGGTGCACCATGTCCTCAATGAAGGCTTCCAAACAAGTGGAAAGCCGTTGCTTGTCAAACATGTGGACCAAGGCAGCCTAGTGATGACAAGCCCATGGGCAAGTGAGGCCATGGGTATGCCAGTTGCACCCTTCAGTCTGGGGTATGTGAAGGGCATGCTTCGTGCTTCCACCGCCTTGGCATTGCTGCATATGTTCTGGCACCATGGTCAGGCAGATGCCTTGCTGCAAACCTTCCGGGCTTTGAAAGAGTCATGTTCCACTGTGTATGTGTTCCATATTCAGCTGCCCAGTGTGGAAAGCGAGGTCTTTCAGAACTTCTTGCTGAGCATCCGTGATAGCATCAGCAAACCTCCCAACTTCATTACATGGCTTCATACCCTGCGGCAGCTCAAGCAAAAAGGGTATGAGGACAGCGCAGCCGTGATTTCTCGATTCAACGCCCTTGTTCCCAAGAGCGCATGGCTGGTGGGTGCAAAGGCCAATGCCCTGGGGAATGTCATGGCGCTGTTTCCCAGTTCGCTGATCCAAGATCTGGAAACTCATGTGAGCAAGTGGGGTTGGGAAGGAAGTGCTTTGTCAGACGACTGCCTGTCCACCAAAAAAGTCTTGCCAACACACATGCACAAAGCGCCACACAAGTCATGGAAGCAGTTGTGCAGTATGAGTGAGACGGCCACTGCCCTCACCTTCAAGCGCATCATCCGCGATCATGAGAAGCCTGGCGCTTGTCGCAAGAAGGTGGACAAACAAAAAGTAGAATCCTTGGCTGAAACGGCGGCTTTGCTGGTCAACTTGTCGACCCAAATGATGGAGCAGTTCCCCGTCAAAATGCAGGATGTGGAGACCCACATCTTTGAAGCATGGCTGGATGGAAGTCATGGGTGGGACTTGGAGCTGCATGAAGTGCAGACAGAAAAGCGGGAGAAACTTGCAGTGACTGATGTCGAGATGTTTCGCGATGTCATTGACATGCTCAAGTGCCAGCGTCCTGTGGCTTCTACAAGAAGTTCGGAAATACTTCTCATCCGCTTGGATGAAGACAAGTGGACGTTGATTCTGAAGCAGCTGGAGTATGACTTCCAAGCGTTTCGCGTCTACCTCTCCAAGATGCAGTCTTTTGAGGTGGCAGTGCACCATGCGAAGCTCGAGTGGAACAAGAGGCGTCGTGAAGAAGCTGCGCAATGGTCTACGCAGTGGATGTCCCAGAAGTGCCACATCTTTGCCTATGATCCACAGAGCACTGGGCAATTGAATCGTCTGCTTGCTGAGCATTGCCTGGCTTTGCTGAAAAACAACAGTCTGGAGAAGACAGCCGTTGTGACTTGCCTGGTTAAATTTCGGATGTTTGTCCTAGCTTGTCTGTTCTTCATTCCAATTTCGTGTTGTGTTTGATCATGTTGCTTTTCAGGCTGTTGATTGATATCACAAACACTAAGCTCGAATGCACCAGCTCAGGCCACACTGAGCTACTTGAACTGGTCTGCTCCAGCGTCAAGGTCACAGAGTTCACAGGATGCTGAAGCCACTTGTTTTTGCCAGCTGGTGGCAGAGCAGCCGCAAAACCTTGGGCTGCTGCTTTCCCCCGTCTTCCACTACAAGGTTCACCAACGCCACGCGCTGGAACACTTCTTGTTGAAGACATTGTCTGGCAGAGGAGTGGATGTGGACAGTCAAGCAGTGCTCATGTACAAAGAGCGCAAAGACGCTCGGGACACGAGGCCTTTGCTGTATCCTTTGCGAATTGTGAGACCTTATGTGGACATGGGGCCCACTGAGTTCACACAGGATGAGACAGAGACAGGTCCTGGCAAGCGCAAGGCACGTGTGCATCCAGTGGTGCACTTCTGGCAAGGCGCGCGTTTGCTGAGCACTGGCCGCACCGAGGAAGCAGAGCAGGTTCCAAACACCCAGCTGAAGTTTGTGGAGGACTGCGCAGTGCATACTTTTCCCAAGGTTTTGTCTGCCCACTTGCCAACATTCAATGTGATCCTTTGGGCCCTTTAGTTTGACAACATCCCATGACATAGTATTTCCCGGAACCCTTGATCCCACAATAATATCTGTTTTTTCTTCCATCGCCCTGTGTTTGAAGGATCTGTCGGACACCGCGCTTCCATTGACGACCGATGACTATGCCAGTGTTCGTGGAGGGAAGCGTTTCGAGCAGATTGGTGCTTCTGCAGCCTTGAAGCTGTTGGAGTCTTTGGTGGACAAAGACCTCCCCAATGGCACGCATGCGGTGGTGTTGGTGGACCTCGCTTTGGGCGTCGGAGACATGTTCTGGGCATGGCTGGAAAGGTGCAAGGCTTTGAGGTTTCCACTGCTTTTTCTGGGAGCCACGTCTGACCCCATGACCTTGGAATGGTTTCAGCACCATTGCCTGGAGGAATTGTCAGAGAAACTTCTGTCTGAAGACCTCAAGCTGCCAGGGTTCACTCCGAAGAGCACCGAGCCCCCAGCAGATGTGCTTCTGTCAGCGCCGCCCGTGCCACAGCTGAATCTGTGCACTGTGCGCCCTGGCCCTACCATAGCCATTCCTGAGAAAGTGATCGCAGAATGGTCGACAAACCCAAACCATGGCATTGAGTTTCAGAACCTGCTGAAAGAGATGGTGGAGGAGTTTGGTGAGCCCAAGCCAGCAAACCAAACCAAAGCCACAGGGGATGGTCAGCAGGAACCTTCTCCCAAGAAGCGACGCTTGACAGAACCTTTAGAGACTGTGCCTGTGGAGAAAATGCCAGACACTAAACTGGTTGAAGCTGCTGTCAACGGCTTGAAGAAAGACCTGGCTGGTAAGATCACGCTTCGGATTGATGGCAGTCAGGGCTGGTGGCTGGTGAATGTGTCACAGACTTCTTGTACCATTGCGGCAGGCACGGTTGTAGCAGGCTTCGGCACTGGCAACTTCCACCACCAGCCACGCAAGGGCCAAGAGGTAGCGGAGGTGGACAATGAGAAGCTGTTGCTGTGCGACATGTCGGTGGCAGAATCCATCTTGATGAACGGCAAGCTGGAGAACCTGTCCGAGGTTCTTCATGCCAAGGAGCTGCAGAAAGGAAAGGCGGAGATTTGTTACCATGCAGTCACACAGAAGGCCGGTGACATGAAAGCCTTCGACATTGTGCGCCAGGTGGAGGTCTATTTCAAACCGAATCCCAAAGTCCAAGGTCAAGTGGAAGATGGAGGCGAGATCAAATTGAACAAGGGCACTGGCTCTTTTGCAGCTCTGGTGCCCTTCTCTTCCTTCCAGGCCTTCAAACACGCGGCTGTGATTTGGTCCATGCGGTGGTCCCCAAAAGGCTTGATGCCAATCAAGCCTCAGATCTGCTTGCGTGGTGACTTGGTCTTGGATGGCCAAACGGCGGTGAAGCTTTGAAGCAATGATGGCCTGAGTCTACTAGCGGTCGCTTCCGAAGCCTGACTCTGAGGAGTCCATTTCGTGGGAATCCCTGGGCTGATCCCAGGATGCTGTCCAAAAGACACGGTGGGAGGGGCCGCTGTGTTTCGAAACCTCACGACTGGTGATTTTGGAGCGTGGTCAAAAAAAGCACCTCCTCAAGCGTCTGCCGTGTGTGCAAGCCAGTCAGACTTTGACAGTCTCTCCTAATGACTACTGGTGCCTCTGCCTGTCCTTGTTTTGGGTCATGTGTTGTGATGGTTGGTCAGTTGGTCTTGTGGTGGCGGTTGCTGCGGCTCACTGGGCCGTGGTTGGTTGGTCTTCCAGGTTTGGCGGCTCTTTGGGCCGTCATCTGTTGTGATGGTTGGTTGCTTCTACTGGGTTGCTGCGGCTCACTGGGCCGTGCGTGAGTTGCAGCGGCTTCTTGGGCCGTGCTTGCTCTTGAAAGCCTGGCGGCTCTTTGGGCTGCATAGACGAACAAGCATGTCATGCAGCCCTTTGTTCAGGGGTGTGCAACAGCTTAGCCACACTGGAAAACAAACAAAACAAAACACTTGCAACTCTGAGGTCTAACACTTTCCCCAGTCCTCCATAAACGGTGACCGCCATGAAACTTACAAGAAGCATGCCTCAGTCATACTTATTGGCTGCTGCATACAGCCGTAAAAAGACTGCTAGATCTTTACAGAACTTGAAACCAACACACAATACTTGTGGTGACAATACTTGCGGTGACACAATACTTCTGGTGACGCCATGGAGCTGCCTCTCAAGGAATCGTTGCAGACTGAAGGATCTAGCGCAACGCCCTGTGTGCATATAAACATACCAGACGATGCGAAGCTGAAAAGGCTTGGCTGGGCAACAAATTGTTTGGTCGTTTTTTGGGTCTTGCTGTCCTTGTTTCTAACACTTCATGTTTGGTCTTGCTTTTGTGTCTACTTGTGTTTTTTTTGGTTGACCCTTTTTTGTTTGCTTTTCTTGGCTGTGTTTTTTTTGTCGCAACCCTTTCACATTTCATTGCCCTGGAAATCTCAAGCTCGATGTCACATGCCCTGGCAGGGAGTCGGATGTGCTACTGGACCGCCTCATGGAGTTCTCAGGTTCCGCAGCCAGCGCCTCGAGTGGTGTCGAAGCCAACTGCACTTCGTCGAGTGGTGTCGAGGCCAAATGCACTTCGTCTTCTTCCAGAAACCTGCCCATGGATGAGCACGATGATGATGACAATATCACCATCTTCTCGGAGTCTGAGACAGAAGAAAGCACAGACCTGGAAGCTGAGAAACTCAGACCGCACTACAAGAAGATCGAGGAGATGGGCCTACCTGCACCACCGAGACCTCCTAAACATCCACCTGTCTATGCATCGAACCGCTTGCGCCTGAGGATAGAACGTAACAAGATCAAGAAGCGGTCCGCGAAGTGCCAAAAGGCACGCGAAGCACGCAGCCGCAAGGGTGGCAAGGGGTCGTGAAAAAGGCAGCATGTTCCAGACTTTTTGCTTGTCAGCCTCAGTGTTGTCAGATGTTAGATGTGTCCACTCTTCTCCTTAGTTTTGAAGTGAAAGTGGTGTTGTGCTTGTTACTGTTGCGGCGGCTCAATGGGCCGTGCTTAGCTACCGTTGCGGCGGCTCTTTGGGCCGTTTTTGTGAGGCATGCTTAGCTACTGTTGTAGCGGCTCTTTGGGCCGTTTTTGTGAAGCATGACCAGAAGGTTGCATCCTGAGAGGTCTTCATGTTTGCGATGTGTGAGCAGTAGCGTTTGTTGTTCTATGCCAGCAATTGCAAACGAAACTATGTCTAACCAGCATTGCAATATTCAGTATCACCACCAAACCGCAAGCACACAGGGCAGCTTGATCGTCAGAATTGCAAGACACCACTACACATGCGAAAACACAGGGCACTTGTGACACACCTAATCCCATGCAATTTCACAAGTGATGAATTTTTTCAAACTTGAAGTCCTGAAGTTTTTGGATGCTTCATGTGGCAATGGCCAATCAAATGGAACAAGCAGCTTCGCATGTGGTGACTGTGTCACAAGAACTGGTGGGACCTTTGCAGGAAACCAACACTTTGACTGCAGCAGACTTGACTCGTATCCGAGCTGCCACTGGGTGCACAGTGGGCTTGCGTAGTCGTGGAAGAGGACCCAGGGTGTTGACAGTCAAAGGTGAAGCACGATGGGTAGATGTTGCCAGACGCATGGCCTTGAGCGGCTGCACTGCGCAAGCTTGTACTTCACGAATGAGCGCTTTACCAATGAGATCAGATGCTGCTTAACTGATGGTGAAGTTTGTATAGTGCTTGCTGAACTCTAAAGGGTGTTAGTAAGCGGCCATGTTTCATGCTGTTTGTTTAGTGGCTTCGAAGAAATTGTATAAATTGCTGTGATTCACCGCGCCCAGGCTGCCTCCAGTATCGATGACAGCTCAGCTCCTCCTGCCACACGCTTGAGGGGTCTGCTTTCTGGCTACCTGATGACTGCCGAAGTCTTTGGTACTAATGTGAATAGCAGATGCGGGCGCTTCATCAGCTATGCAGACTATGTTCATCATCTGGATTGCTCGGTCTTGAGGGAGGTACAAATTCAACAGATTGTCCACACTGGCCATCACACAGACTTCCTGCGTCAAGTGGCCTACAGCCAGGAGTTTGCCAATCTGATGTCAAACTTTTTGACTTCGGTACAAAGGCTGCCCAGGCGGGAACACCTTGTTGGTATCAGCAGTGTCCATGGGCAGCACCGATCGGTAAGTGCTGCATTGCTCCTGCAATATGTGTTTCAGCAACTGGGTGCTCGATGGACTAACCGTTTCTTGGAAGAGCGAAGTGGAGGCTGGCGTGAGCTTTGCCATGGGTGTCCTCGATGTGACGACAACAGTGAAGATGATGAGATCAAACGTTTCGTGCTGCAAAGGGCACAGCGACTCCTTACTGCAACCTGAAAAATGTGCAACTAGGCTGCAGCAGCGCCGCGGCCAAACGCCAGTTCCCATGCCAGGCCCAATGCCTTCTTGTCAACCTACCCAAGCAAGAATGTCATGCTTGTACTGACTATTCCAGGTATACAAGAGTATCCGTTTATTACACAGCCTGCCTGGATGATGATGATGATGATGACGACGACGACGACGGTGGTGATGATGACGATGGTGGTGGTGATGGCGATGGTGGTGGTGATGGCGATGGTGATAGTGATGGTGACGATGATGATGCTGATGCTGACGATGATGATGGTGATGATGGTGATGATGATGATGACGATGACGATGACCTGCGAATAGGACCAGTGTCTCATAGGTTTCGGTCAGTTGTGTGGTTTTACATTGTCAAAGGATGCCATGGGACAGTAATACACGAGCGCCACTTCCAACATGACAGCCCACTTTTGGGGTTCAACTCAGATGAAAAAAATCCAACAAGCAACCGGCTAGCCTGTACTTGGTTCATGTTCTAAAGTGCAGGGGCTAGCCACCTGCAGTATATTTACAACCAACCCATTGCCAAGCATGGATCACTTATATGTTTCCCACAATGGCTAGCCATGTGGGTGTATCTTCAAAAAAATGTTAGAGGGCTAGCCACCTCCGAGTCATATTATTTTGTCTTCCCAAAATGGTTAGCCCATGTCGTGTGAATGTTTGTTAAATTTTGTTAATATATATTATCAGAGGGGCTAGCCACCTCCGAGTCATGTTTCATCTTCCCACAATGGCTAGCCATGTGTGGGCGTTTTCAATATTAATCATTATAGTGGGTCCACTGATTTTCCCATGGATCCCTTCAAATTTCAGCAGAGGAAAAAAAAGGAAGAATCCCATGAACTTTCGGACAAATCTCATGAACAAAGATTTCAAATCGTCTTTTTGTCGCTTTGGCGTCGAGATCCATCCGGTTTTGGAGCTGCAATTTCCGACGCCATTGCATGTAGTTCTATTGTGTTTCGCAACTCAGTCTCTGCAGATCGCATTGTAGTGGCTGCGTCAAGGTTGCTTGGTGCAGCGGCTGCATGCGTAATACTATTGTCTTTTGCAGCTGAAGATCGTAAATCGTATTGGAATGGCTGCATCAAGGCTGCGAAAGTGATTTGTCAGCAGATTTTCTCAATTTTGGCGCTAATAATTTTCCTTTTAAAATTCCTTTTAAAAAGTGCTTCAAAATCGTCTTTTTGTCGCTTTGGCGTCGAGATCCGGTTTTGGAGCTGCAATTTCCGACGCCATTGCACGTAGTTCTATTGTGTTTTGCAACTCAGTCTCTGCAGATCGCATTGTAGTGGCTGCGTCAAGGTTGCTTGGTGCAGCGGCTGCATGCGTAATACTATTGTCTTTTGCAGCTGAAGATCGTAAATCGTATTGGAATGGCTGCATCAAGGCTGCGAAAGTGATTTGTCAGCAGATTTTCTCAATTTTGGCGCTAATAATTTTCCTTTTAAAATTCCTTTTAAAAAGTGCTTCAAAATCGTCTTTTTGTCGCTTTGGCGTCGAGATGTTTTGGAGCTGCAATTCCTGTTGTGATTATGTACAAGAAAGCTTCTCTGTGCAAAAACTTTTTCTGTAAAAGCTTGCTGTCTTCTCTGTGTGTAAACGCTTGCTGTGTGTTGAAAAACGCTTGCTGTGTGTGAAAAAAAGCTTCTCTGTGTAAAAGCTTGTTGTGTGTAAAAGCTTCTCTGTTTAAAAGGCTTGCTGTGTGTGTAAACGCTTGCCATGTGTAAAAGCACTGTGTGTAAGTGTTCTGTGTGTAAACGCTTGCTGTGTGTGAAAGCTTGCTGTGTGTAAAAGCTTGCTGTGTGTGAAAGCTTGCTGTGTAAAGCTTCTCTGTGTAAAAGCTTGTTGTGTGTAAAAGCTTCTCTGTTTAAAAAGCTTGCTGTGTGTGTAAACGCTTGCCATGTGTAAAAACACTGTGTGTAAGTGTTCTGTGTGTAAACGCTTGCTGTGTTTGAAAGCTTGCTGTGTGAAAAAGATTTTGCGTGTAAAAGCTTGCTGTGTGTAAAAGCCTCTCTGTGTGTAAAAGCGTCTCTGTGCAAAAGTTTTTGTGTGTAAACGCTTGCCATGTGTAAAAGCACTGTGTGTAAGTGTTCTGTGTGTAAACGCTTGCTGTGTGTGAAAGCTTCTCTGTGAAGAAGCTTGTTGTGTGTAAAAGCTTCTGTGTGTAAAAGCTTCTCTGCTTGAAAAGCTTGCTGTGTGTAAAAGCTTCTCTGCGAAAGAGCTTGATGTGTGTAGAAGCTTTGTAGTACAAAGTAGTACTGGGGAGTAGTTTGTGCAAGCTTTGTAGTACAAAGTAGTACTGGGAAGTAGTTTGTGCAAGCTTTGTAGTACAAAGTAGTACTGGGGAGTAGTTTGTGCAAGCTTTGTAGTACAAAGTAGTACTGGGGAGTGCTTTGTGCAAGCTTTGTAGTACAAAGTAGTACTGGGAGTTGTTTGCGCAACTTTGCAGTACAAAGTAGTACTGGGGAGTGCTTTGTGCAAGCTTTGTAGTACAAAGTAGTACTGGGAAGTGTTTTGTGCAAGCTTTGTAGTACAAAGTAGTACTGGAACGTGTTTTGTGCAAGCTTTGGTGACATACGAGAAGTAGTACTGGGAAGTGATTCATGAAAGCTTAGGTGACATATGAGAAGAGATGAGATGAGAAGAGATGAGCTGGGATAAGGTGAGAAGAGCTCAGATGAGATGAAGTGTGGAGTGTGAAGTGTGAAGTGTGAAGTGTGGACTGTGAAGTGTGAAGTGTGAAGTGTGGAGTGTGAAGTGTGAAGTGTGGAGTGTGAAGTGTGAAGTGTGAAAGTGCGCAGTGTGAAGTGTGAAGTGTGGAGTGCGAAGAGTGCAGTGTGAAGTGTGAAGAGTGTGGAGTGTGAAGTGCGAAGAGTGCAGTGTGAAGAGTGCAGTGTGAAGAGTGTAGTGTGGAGTGTGAAGACTGTCAAGTGTGAAGTGTGAAGAGGAGCTTCAAATGTGACATGTAAAACAAGACACCAGTTTCGCAGAGCGCACGCACGCACGGGCTTGGCTGGCGCACGGCGCATGCAAGTTCTATAGATGAGAAAGGTCTTATATATATATATATCTTTAAGGCAACTTCCGCCCCGCCTCGTGCGGGTACTACTGGTAGACAACAATAATAAAACAAGAATAAAACAATAAAACACCAAACATCTATATCTACTTGTATCTACCTAGCGAACCCAAACCCGAGAAAACCTGGGGTATAGAAAAAAATACCCGAGGTTTGAAAAGCAAACCCGAGGTTTCCAAAAACGTGAGGCTTTCCTAAAACTGAAAACGTTAAAGACTGCAGTGGAACAAATGTTTTCCCCTGTGTATTTGCACAAAATGCTGTGCTTTCCCTTGTTCTTACTTACGAAAACTGAAAAAACAGTTTACAATCCCGGTCATACAAACCCATGAAAAGTACGAGTTTGGTACGGGTTTGGTACAGATTTGGAATAACCGATGTTTGCTGACAAAACGATGTATTTGCAGAATACTATGGGTTAGTACGGGTTTGGTACGGGTTTGATACGGGTTTCCGAGAAACCCGAACTTTTCCAGACAAAAACCATGAAAATCATGTTACAAGACTGTGCAAAGGATTTGGGCACAAGTAAATTTCGAACAGAGGTGGCAAAGAGATGCAGATGAATTGCTCTGTTCTATATTGAACTATATAGAACCTGTGATAACCTGTGGAACAAAAGAATGCCTTGGCGGAAGAAATTCTGGATAAACCCGAGGTTTTCCGGCCATATACCTGCAGTATTTTTCGGCCATACCTGCGGTATTTTTCAAATTCATGGAATACCCGAGGTATGGTTTGATACCCGAAGAAAAGCTAGGGTTTGGGTTTACTAGGTATAGATCTATAGTTTTTAACTTTGGGTTGCTAAATGTGTCCAAGTCACTGTTGCGGGTTGGGATCGAGCAGCTTGCCATTGTTCTCCAAGTCCTGTTTTGTCTTGTGTGCGCGCGCTTGCCTTTGTTTGCCTACAGGTTTGTTCATTGAATGTCCCCACCGTCCCCAACTGTCAATTTGGGGCCTTTACATTTTGCGTCAAGTCTCGTTTTTTCAACATCCCCCCCCAGATGTCACTGAGCAGGGTGGGCACCAAAATCTCCCGATCAAGACCAGACGCGCGAATACAAGATCCAGACTCCAAACTGTAGATATCAAATTCAATCACCACACATCACCAGACTCCGAATTCGAAATCCATCCAAGTCCCATCTCCAAACTCCAGACTCCAATCTTCATCCAGGACTCCAAAGTCAAAACTGCAGACTCCGAGCCTGGGGGTTCAAAAGCCTGAAACCCCAAATTGTGTAGCGTAAGTCTATCTATATATCCTACAACGAGCCAAATTGCTTTTTCAGGTTGAGGATAATTTGGGAACAGCATATGCGGACATACCAATACCATTTTGAAGACGGCTGATGTTGATGATTAGATTTAATTTAATAATATATATATATAATTATATTTATCATATAAACTATGTTTAAGATGTTTAAGTTTTGACCTTATCAGAATGATAGATATTGTTGAAAGCGCTGAAAGAGATTGAAGTCAACACGCTGTAGTCCACCTTCAGGTCGCGATCCTCCATCTCTCCTGAGGACGTTTGGTACGGAGGGGTTGGGACACCAGATGTAAATTCTTTCCATTTGGACATTTTGTACCTTCGCTGGAAGCATTTTGAAGCTTATACGAAATCTATATTTGGAGGTGCCGGTCAACGTGGCCCAAAATCATATGATGCTGACACGAAAAGGGCCACACTGCACGGATCCGCACGGTTTCCTGAAGCCACCACCCTAATTTGAGACGCTCACCAAGTAACTTTCCTCAAGTTGATCAGATGATGTGGTTGACTGACCAGCGCCCAGATATCACAGTTAGCTCTTTCACATCCTTTCACTAGTTTCACGTGTTCAACTTTTCTTTCCTTTTCAACAACTTACTGTTTTGATCTAGGAGCAGCAGCTGGCCGATGAGCTGCAGGTGGAGCCGCCAGTGTATCTCATAGAAGTATATAGTCGGATGATATCGGATATAGTGGTGAGATGTCTTTGTAATTTGCTGTAAGGCTAGTATTGAAGTAACGGAATGCTGGGGGTCTGTTTGACACTGCTGCCCTTGACAGCTGCAACATACCTTTTCAAATCGGACGAGGGAGAACACGCTCAACTTTGAAGTTGGCATTTTTGCTAGGGAATGTATGCTCACATTCGCATCTGAATCTATCTCCGGCCCTCATGTCTCTCAGCAAAAATGTGACCCAGCAATCACAAACTTTCCCAAATATCCCTTAAAGACATGGGTGAGGCTTACAGGGACCCCTGTGCTCTTTGGTTCTGTTTGGTGGATGGTGTTCTAGTGTTGTCAAGTAATGTTTAGCAACTATAGAGTTGCATCCTTTGCAACGGACTGTTTGCTCCTGGCGCAGACTGCGGGTGCGAGAATGGAATCGCAGGGCCGATCCACAAGCACCAGCAGTAGTACAGACTCGGAGGCATGGCACCACTGAATTTTGGAGGCTTCTTTTTGGCTTGGATATATAATATGCGTTCTATTTGTATTTACACATGTTTGAATCTCGGCTGGATCCTTTTGTTCGTCGCCACGAAAAGCTCAAGGGCCCTAAAGTTTTAAGCCAATAGGTCCGTGACACATCGTGACACAGCAGTCATTCACAACCAGGCTTCTCTAAGACCACGCATATGACAGCGTGGAATCACACCCGTTTTATCTACTGGTGTGAATGCGGCAGTACTATATACAAAGCAAGGCATGCAACTCTATTCCTTTTGGAATGGCCAAAATGACTCACCAGACTATTTCATTCTGGTACTACTGTACTATTCCTATTCCAATACCTGTACACTTCCAAATCTCTCAGTTCAGCTTCTTCACGTTGATGTATCCCTCAGCGAGCACTCTGACCAAAAAGTCAGGCTTCATGCTCTTGGTCAAACAGTCTGCCAACTGTCTGCCGGTATTAATCAATTCGAATTCGATCTCATCTCCTGCTGGGTGATATTGGGTGATACTTCTCACAAGTTCTTCAGAGGAAAGTTCAATTCCCAAGCGCTTGTCTTGCACCTTGCGCGCAACCTCGCAAGGCAAGTGGCCAGTCAGGGAGCGGCAATCTGTGAAGTACAGATGCAATATCGCGCGTTGGCTCTATTCATACCATTCTTTGACTGATTTCAAATGGCCAGCCAATTCACAAAGCAAAGCACGTAGCTTGTCTCCAGACTCAATTGATCCCTGCAGAAGCGTAAACCTCAGCCTGCAGCGTAGCTCGGCAAACTCTTTTCAGCGTCGACGATCCAAATCCAATCAGGTGAAATTTGTGCTCACCCAATTTCACATTCCGAGACGTGATGTAGTGGATACATCCCTGTTTGCTCTTGAACTCAGCTTTGTTTGCAAAGCTGGCATCAGAAAAGGTAACGACCGCAAGATTCTTCCAAGCAATCCAGTCAGTCTTGAGAAAGTGATTTTGCAGTCGCTTCCCTGCAAAGCGAGTCACAACTCGATTGGCGTCGTTCAGGCTTTGAACTGTTGGAATGGCAACATCGTTGGAGTTCATTTACGCGGTAAGCAAGACCTGGCCGTCCATATCGGCTCACCCATGCCAGTCCTCCAACGACACCCCGGACAGAAGTCAATTCCTCCTGGGTCAGGGGGTCATTCATCTTTCGGTCTCTTCCAATTGCGGCTGGTTTCAAGTTCCGAGTGTTGTCTCGGACGTCGACATGACTTGTGTGATCATCATCCTGGGAAAAACGGTGACCACAGTAGCGAAACGAACCTTCCTCAATCTTCCCAACCGAAAAGCGGTTGAGGATAGCATCTACGGCCTCCTTGCCTTTGTCCGTGTAGGCGAAGAGCAGGTCGTCATCCACATGTGTGCACATCATAGCGGCAAGATGTTGGGCCTTGCCGAAGAGGTAGTGTGTCGCAGGACTTACCTGGGATGCCACGAAGCCTCGTGCTAAGATTTCGGCATTCATCCGCAGATAAAACCTCGTCCAGCATCTTTCGTTCCATACACTGGGACACTCGGCGCATCAACACCGCGTCCTCCGGGATCTCAGCATCAAACATCGTCAATCCTCCGCGAGGTGGGGCCATTAGCAACAACCTCGTCATCGGAGCCGCCTGAAAGTATAGGCGTTCGTGATGACCGCTGTTCGAAGCCGAAGTTTGCGAGTAGCGGCATAGTTGCACAACACCAGATGGGACTCTGGCTCCGACCTTGGGCTATCGCAACGGATCTCTTCCTTGTTGACGTTTTCAGAGTTCCCATAGCTGACAAGTCGGCTCTTGTAGACCGGCTTGAAGTCAGGGCTGTTCATCTCGTGGATGTTCTTGATAGTGTCTACCCACTTAGGTATCACTTGATGTCCTTCTGACAACAGTCGCGCTTTCTCAGCGCCGGATACAATCACAGCGGCATTGAAAGATCAGTATTTGTCCCATTCCTTCTGCCTTGCTTCCAGCATTCCCTTAGGGGTCTCCTCATCGACGTCGTTGATGTTCAAAGTCTTAGCGACCTTTCCTTCGTGTGTTGCAGCAGCGGCATCGGGACCCACACGTTGGTCAGCAAACGCGGAAAACTTAGCGAAACCCTCTCCAGCAGCAGCTTCGAGCAAAGCCATGGCGCGGCAAGGGTCTTGGTCTTATGCCCTTTTGAAAAAGGTGAAGCCGGTCCATGCATGCCTATAAGACTCAACCTGACTACTGTTACCTAGGACAACCTCGCAGTCCTTCACGGAAACATCCGTGAAGATCTTCTGCACCTGGCGCTTTGATGCACTTTGCACGCGGAACCGGTCTCGTAGACGGGATTGTAGTCACTGAGCCTTGGCTTAACATGAACTCGGATTGCACAAGAGTCAAAGAGTCTCCCTGGCCTTTCGTTTCCACATCTGCCATCATGACATCTCCCTCCAGTGCTCCAGGTGTCTTGGGCGCAGATCGGGCAGACCTGCCCGTCTTATCTTTGGATGCGAACTCCGATCGAGAATTCTCGCGCTTTTGTCCACGGCCACTTCCTGCAACTGAGCTCGACGGTGCTTCGTCGGCTACTCTCAGGTACTTTTGTTGTTGGGGGCCAGACACGATCACTTCAGGCAAAACTGGGATGTTGTTCAGCATTGAGTATGCCAGGGTCTCGGCTTCATCTGCTGATCTCACCTTGTTTCGGCAACCAAAATGGGAACACCTTCATGTAAAACCCAAAGACCAAGGTGTGGATCTGAGCCTATGATGCGCGAAGCAGTAGACCAAATCGTCCCTCCGACTTGGTTGTCACGGCGGTACACCACAAGATCTCCGACCTTCAAGGTTTTGTCCTGTACAGCTGCATTTTGTAGTAAAGCTCTTTGGATGCGCGAAGACTGTCTAGGTGCACAAATGCTCTTTGGGCTGACATTCTGGCTGCATGATTCAAATGAAAACGGGCTGATGGATCCAGTGAATCTTCAAGTACACCAAGGTTACCAGCTTCATCCAGGTCAGACACACTGCCTGGTGTCCTTGGGTTCTTGCCAAGTACTCACTGTGCGGGGCTATACCCATGGGTCCTTGTCATCTGGTTCTTGATGACCAAGGCTTCATGCAAACACACAGCAAAGTCCTTTTCACCTACGGCTTCTGTGTCATTCACAATCTTTCGAAGCATAGCCTTCACGACCCCTTCAGCTCGCTGCACTTTGCCAATTGCAGTGGGCGTCTCAAGAGGTGCAAAAATGACTTCACAGCCATGTGATGCCAGGAGTTTTTGCATTTCACCCTGTTGTGCGGTTGTGCATTCCTCGATCTGTTGTCACCTGCTTGGGCCAACAGTGGAGATATCCACAAAGCTAAGCATGGAATACTTGTTGCCAGCGTTGTCTCTGGCTTCTGCACCATCCATCCCTACACATGCATTGAACTCAAACTGGAACTTGTGTCCTACCGGGTGCTCTCTGGGGCGTGGCTTGGCATTTTCACAAACTGTGCATCTGACCATGCGTGCACTCTCAACCAATTCAGCTGGTGCTGCCTGCCTTCAAGATTGCTCTCAAGGTCTGAGGCGTCGGATGTCCAAACTGGCGGTGAAGGCGCCTAATGGCAATGCGCGCGCTGTGGGAGTGTAAGGGACTCTTGCTCAGCTGCTGTCAACTTCTGCAAGTCTACAGAGTCTTCCATGGGTTGCATCTGCATGTCATCAGATGAGGGGTCCAAACCCTCCTCGCCATCTTCAATGGTCTCACCAACAAGACAGGTACGTGCAAAACTGCTAAGAGACCTTTCTTCCGACGTTTTGCAAAGCAACTCAAGCATGGCAAGTCCTTTGTGGAATCTTCAAAACATTTGTGGGCTCCACCAGACTGATCCCAAGCCAGGTGGCTACACAGTCAACTGCTTGCCGAAGTCCTGAGATGCATCTAAAGCACATGCTGGGTGATCACCTACATCATTGGACAATTGGAAAGGGCCAACAACACTTTAATCGGAAATTTGTCTTTGGGTTTCTCTTGAACCTGGGGGTTGTTCCCCTCGACAGGCAACTCAACACCAAGCATTGCTGAACCTTCATTTGCAGGGTACTCGGTTGCGTTCCCTGCTTCTGGAGGGTCATTGATGTTTTGGTTATCATCATCTGCAAGTTCTCCTCCATCACCAGGCTCTTCATGATCGTCTTCCTTCTGATCACCCATTGGATGTCCAAAATCATCACCTCCATCGCCATTTCCTGCTTCTCCAAGATCATCATCGACCTCCTCAGTGAGCGCATCACGGGGTGCAAAGATCATAATCCTTGACTGGGACTCCTGATTCCAACCCGGTGGGTCTGTGCAAAGCTCTCTGGCACCGGTCAGAGTCCACTGCCCTGCCACGTAGTCATACGTAGTGACAGTCCATGGCACTTCACCCTTCAACAGCTCAGTGGCGAACTGCCGAGGCGTTGGATCATCACCCAGAACGACGACCTTGATGTTGGACTCATGATTGGCTTGCTCCAGTGCAGTGCGCTCCCTAGAAGCTGGGTCAGACCCCGGAAAATATGGGCCAATCCACCTCAGGCAACGTGCCTTGTGAAATTCCATCCCTTGTTCTCGGCGAAGTACACCTCGTCCAGCAACTCCACAGGTGTCTTACCAACCTGAACTCTTCGATTCCATGCCTCCGGGCCAGCACGCAGTACCGGGAATTTCCAGGGAGCGGGCCAGCGATTTGCCACATAGTTGGTGTACCCTGACTTGGCCAGTACCGCTCGCTCTCAGAGCGGCTCCTGTCAGGCGGTGGAACTGCCCTGAGCATCGCATGTTGATTAGAATCAAGATCTTGATTTGATGGGGTTCAAAAATCAATCTGAGATATTGATTTTTCAAAGGCAAATTTTAAAGTAAACTAGACGACGGTTGGCCCGAGAGCGAAAAAGAAGTTTTTCAAGCAGCTCTGGGGATGGTAGTCGTAAAAGATAGTCGGTGAAGAGTTGGTGAATTTTATATGAGCTATGGAAGGATATGGTGTGAAAAAGTAAGATTGATCAAGAAGATGATACTTGGTAAAGGGCATCAGATGACACGTGTCTTGCAACCACAGAGAGAAAGAGGGAGGAGAGAGAGAGAGAGAGAATGAAAGGGCGGTAGAAAGAAAACATGGAGAAATTTAATGTGAGAAACAAAAATGCACAGGAGGCTCGGTACCATGATGCTGCGAACGACATGTGTTATCTCATTTTACTATGGTAATTCCTACACACATTGCCGAAAAAGCTCGGCACCATCATTCCGTGGATGTGAAGAGACGACGCTTTTATACAGAGACGCTTTTATACAGAGACGCTTTTACACACAGACGCTTTTACACGCAGACACTTTTACACACAGACGCTTTCACACAGAGACGCTTTTACACGCACAAAAACTTTTACACGCAGACGCTTTTACACACCGACACTTTTACACACAGACCCTTTTACACACATATTGTTTTACACACAGACGCTTTTACACATAAAGGCCTTTACACACAGAAGCTTTTACACACAGACACTTTTACAGACCGAGATTTTTACACACAAACACTTTTTCACACAGGCACATTTACACGCAGAAGCTTTTACACCAAGACGCTTTTCCACACAGAAGCTTTTACTCACAGACTCTTGTACACGCAGACGCTCTTATGGACAAAACCCGTTACACACAGGCGCTTTTACAGGCCGACGCTTTTAGAACACATACCAACACGAAATGATGCTTTGAAATGGCAGTGAAACGTCGTGGCTCAGAAGTGCCAACCTTAGTGCACAGCACAGCGCTGAACACATTTCACTAATTTGATTTACTTCAAGACCAAAAACATCCATCAAAAACCCAGGCCGGTACCAAACTGGCGCAAGAGCCACCTCAGAAATTGCAGATTGCACGATCATGCATAGTTGTTCACTCGTACCAAGATGAGATCGTCTGTCATCGAGTTCGATCACACAAACACATGTAGATGAACACTTTCCATTTTTTGAACTGCTGGTCGCACTAATGAGTTCACATGTTTGTCACGAACAGTCTTTACAGACAAACAACAGTTGGCTACTGATTTTGCACGTTCGCCACGGACAGCTTCTCCAGACGAACAGTGGTGCAAATTAATTTGTGCCCGCCACACTCAGTTCCATGTGCCACTCGGCACGCAAACCTTCCAGCTTCCACAAAGCCTCCAAGACAGCAACTGGACGGCATCCTCTGCAGAGTAATTGTAACCCACGACGAGCCAAGCACATAAAGCTCCATCGGTTCGAGAGATGCCTCCAAAGCAATGGAAGAGCACGTGCATGGATTCGCCCCTGGTCACTGCCAGCATGGACTGTGTCCAGAGTTGGCCACAAACACTTTTCCACTGTTCCAAACAAGAAGCTTTTACACACAGGAGCTTTTACACACAGACACCTTTACACACAGACCATTTTACACACAAACGTTTTTACTAAACACAGAAGCTTTTTACACACAGACCCTTTTACACACAGACGCTTTTACACACAGACGCTTTTACACACAGACGCTTTTTACACACAGTCACTTTCACACACAAAAGCGTTTACACGCAGACGCCTTGATGCACAGAAGCTTTTACACACAGAAGCTTTTACACACAGAGCTTTTACACACAGAAGCTTTTACATACAGACACCTTTACACACAGACAATTTTACACTGCTTTTACACACAGACACTTTTACACACAGCCCATGTCACATACAGTCACTTTTTGCACAGAAGCTTTTACATACAGACCCTTTTGCACACACACACACACGCTTTTATACACAGAAGCTTTTACACACAGACGCTTTTACACACAGAAGCTTTTACACACAGAAGCTTTTACACCAACGTCCGTTTCGTGCGACAGGGTCACGATGAACAAAGTAAAAAGGGTTGCCCGTGACACCTCAAACTCGCAATTTTTCCCCGTGACACCTCAAACTCGCAATTTTTCCCCAGTTTTTGACGTCCAACGTCCATTTCGTGCGAAAGGGTTGCGCGCGACACCTCAAACTCGCAATTTTTCCTCAGTTTTTGACGTCCAAAGTCCATTTCGTGCGAAAAGGTTGCGAGGGGACACCTTAAATCGCAATTTTTCCGCAGTTTTTGACGTCCAA